TCTTCTTCATCCATATGTATGACATCTGCCTGGTATGGTTTGAATGGTTGAGGCTCACTGATGTCCCCTACACTCTCCTTTCATTTGTCTTAACCAAAATTCATCTCTCCATGTAACTTTTACAGCCTGTGGACTTGGGGTAGTCATCTCTGTTTATGGGAGCTCAAGAGCTCCAAGATACAATGTTCCAACAAACAAGGCTATATGATATATTATGATCTAGTCTCAGAAGTCACATTACATCTTTCTGCAATATTTTGCCATATTGGTCAAAATAGTCACAAACCCTCCTGGATTCGAGAAGTGGTAACATAGACTCCAACTCTTCCTAAAGAGAATATCAATGAGTTTACAGCTATATTTTTAAAACTAACACAGAAGTTCTCAAATCACTGCCTGGAACTATTTTATTTCCCTTTCCCTGGCTGTATACATCTGAGGACACAATCTGTCTGAATTAGAAGAAAATTTACTGTGAACGTTCTTTCTGCAATATCAGTTATTTCCATCTTAAGATCTTTTAAAAACTTTTATCTCCATGATTTACTATGATATCCCTAGTGTAAGTTTGTTGATAATCAAACTATTATCTTTTTTATTTCACTCAGTTCATTTTTCTTCTTCTCACGTCCAGATTTGTATCCCTGTCCTGACTTCTTTTATTCCTTTATCCATGCTGGAGAAATAATTCTTTCCAAAGGGAGTTTCTGTTTTCTTGACCAAAACTTGCCAACAATGCCCAAGTGAAATGTTTCCCTCACTCCTTTCCCCAGTAGATACCATTAACCACTATGGTTGTTAACCAGAAAGGGGGCAGACATTCTCCTGGCTCCTTAATGCTTCTTGACATTAGTTTTCAAATGCCATGTGAATCTATCTTTTGAAAATAAAGTCAACTAATTCTTGCTAGCTGGACTCATTATCAGTCTTCTCATCTACCAAATTTCAAATTGGTTTCTTTACACGGTTTCCACATACTTTCTGTAACTCAGTGATCTGTCATATGTATTAGAGCTACAATGATGTCTCTCCTCCAGTCTGAAGACCTATCTTTCAGCTTTAATAACCATCACTGCTTCATCCCTAGACTAGCCTTTCCTTTCACCTCAACTTCTGTGTGGAGCTTGCTTCCTCTAGTATCTTCAAGAAATTCCTTCTTCTTTCTGTTTCTAATCTTTTGCCTCAAGCTACATCCTCCATTTCTTAACCAAGACATTTCTTCAGTAATCATTACTATTTGTAGCTTAAGTGTGTCCTCCAAAACATCCAGCCTTCGTAATCTCTTTATAGTCCTCTTTTGCACTAAATGACACAGAATTATCTCTTCTATAAATTCTTTTCTGAGCCTAATTTCCTCAGGCACCTTCTTAGATTTTAAAACTTCACTTCTTTCCTAATCAGTATTCTTCTGTCCGCCCTTGTTGTGGGCCGCAGCTTATAGCTCTGTGCTGCTGTCATTTTCTTCTTTATCTTCATACACTCCCTGGGTGATTGCATCTACTTCCTTGGTTACAGCTATCATTTGCCAATTTTCAATTCTCAGACCTCTATCTTGCTATGACTCTACCTGGAATTCTAGAATGGCATTTGCAATGACATACTGCACCTTTCCAACTGGATATCTCCTAAATATCTCCAAACTAGAACGCATTACCACCCTTCCTACCACCCTCTTTCTCTCACACTCACTAGGTAGGACATTTGTAAGACATAATTATCATGCAAAGAGGTAATGATGGTGGTGACTAATTCTAAAAGAAAATAAACCAATGTGAAAGTTTTAGACCATGTGCTTATTTAAGGCTGTCCCAAGCAGGCAGAGTGCTGGTTAGAAGCTGATTATCAAGTAAAAGACAGATGTTGATTAGCAAGGCCAATTATCTACAGGGACAGCCAATTTGTTCAGCTGATGTTTCTTACTGGAAATGCTTTTCAAGAATATCACCAATCTTTGTTCTGACTTTAAACTCACAGGCATCTTTCTGATACATAATTAGATCCTGCTTGAACAAAAAGACAGATGTCTGTTATTATGACTGGGATACAGCCATTGTATATTCAAAATTGGCAGTCTTGCTGGTCAGTGATTCTTTTGTCAGTTTGTCTGGTGTGAGTCAGTCTCTGAGGGTTGGTGAACTCTAGACGAACTGCTCAGATCATTTCTGGATCTGAAAAACTGAAGACCAGACACTGGACTAGGGTGAGTGAAAATAAACCATGAATCTGAGAGGTGAAGCCCAGCGAAGGAGGTCAGTGGACGCTTCTTGTTTATATATTTTTAGCTGGACATAATTTATCTTATGCATCTTTGTCCCACACAGGGCATAACATAGTGCAACACATAAAAAAGCTGAATACTTGCTTTTATTCAATCTCAAACATTCAGTAGTTTCTGAAAGAACAATATTAAATGCACCCAAACAATCTATGAATCCCACAAACTGAATTTCTAAAAGACTCACAAAGCCTCCATAGTAAGAAAGAAGACAACAGAAATTTAGAACACAACAAAACAGCATATGGAGCGGCAAAATTCTTTCCAATTCAAAAATGACATACCTAGTATGTATTGTGTGCTGTGTTGTATATCTTATTTCAATTTCTCCATCCTATGAGTTATATACTATTACTCCCATTTTGTTGTTGAGGAACACATAGCCTTGAAGGCTTAAATAACTCGCCCAGAGTACACAAGGAGTGAATGGTAAAGGTGGATTTGAACCTAAGGCTTTGTGACTGCAGTACTAATATTCTTAAACACAAGAGAAGGTTTTATGTTTGCTGTTAATTGTTCAAACCCAACAAATAGTAAAAAATGTTATTCACATTTACACAAATCTGACATTCAATGATACTATCTTTAAATGCAAATAGCCATCTTGAGATTTAGACTAAATGCTGCCTTAATTTTGGGAGGAATTCTGAATGGAATCTTCAGAATAAAATGACACTAAAAGAAAAAAAGGATTAAATGAATGCATGGAATAAAGTACTTTTATGTTTATATAGTTTTGAGAGACAACTTTTCATCCCTTTCTCGCTTCACCTCATGACACCTTTTACTAAGTACAAGAATAGAGAGCTTCAATTTTTGTTTAAAACCATGTCCACAATAAAAATAAAATGTGCACCACAACCTAGGACACAAGAACATAGAAACTTGTGTGTATTTTGTTGTATATGTGTCTGAAATGAAATCATAATCCTTACTGAGTTATGGTCTCTGATTTATTGTGCTTCATTTTGATAAAGAGGGGGATTACAACTCACCATGCTAATCCATTCTTTTCTTGAGCCATCTTCAAATGAAAATTTTGCTCTCACTGCAAACTAAAGTGATGGAATTAAATGGATCATCTCCAAGGTCTCTATTTTAGTCCATTGTCAAGGATTACCCACCTTCAAAAAGGTGATTTCCCCCATCAAATTATCAAGAGAGATATGCAGTATGTTTTTCCCTCTGCAGTATCTGCTGCCTCCTCTGCCCTCCCCTCGCCTTACTCCTACCCAATTTTCATTCTTGTGGGGCTGCAGCTCTGTCAGTTGCTCATTTGAGGCCTGACTCCTTCACAGTTACTGTACAGGATGCTCTGTCACAGCAGTCATGCCTGCTGAGGACAGCAGTCTGCAGGGCCCAGCCCAAAGCATTGCAACCTTACAGGATGAAACAAGTAAGCAGTGTTAACAATAACATGGATTTCTAGTGACATCTGTTGTTTCTGTAGTGCCCTATCCCATCAGATCGCTAAATCATAATAGTTCTATTTTGAATTTAGGAAAAACATTTTATATTTGAAAATGGAAGATCTAACTACCTGTGGGACCAAAATTATAAATCTCCTGAAAAGGAAGTATAAACTTTCTATTACATTAAGGTGGGGGGTATAGGAGAGGAGAGGAGAGAGAGAGAGAGAGAGAGAGAGAGAATATATGAATATATATTTTATTCTAGAGAGAAAAAATTCTATTCCTAAAGTGATTTAGAAAATCAAGAAGTATTCAAAGTTTTAGGATAAGTTCTTTTAAATCAAAAATATAATTATCTACATAATATGTATGTACTAAATACACACATCCTCTCCCCTTACTCATGTACATACTGCAAAACTCTACCTAAGCTGCTGCTAATAAGTAAGGATTTTCAAACAGTGAAGTTTGCACGGTACATGTAATTAACAAGTTAATATTGATTGACAGGAAAGAAGCAAAAGGAATAAATATGAGAAAAAGAAAAAAATGGAAACAAAGTCTTTGTAAATAAGGAGAGGTGGAGGGGTTGAAGGGAGGGCAGGGGAATGGGGAAAAAATAAGGACCAAGATACATCATGTAAAGGTACAAATTTTCAATGATGAATGTCATCATATTGTACACCTAAAATATCCCAATAAACTTCATGAATAAAAAAATTGACATGTTATAAGAGTTCCGAGAGATTTGTATTTTCTACTCACATTATTTTGTTACAGAGCACCCACTTCCACCCAGGACCATTGTACACTTACTTACCTTTACCAATGAGATAAAAAGATGATGCTTTATTCATGCTTTCTTTCCATTACACACTATATTTAAGTAGCACCAGATCATATATATAGATGCACCTGTACAAAGCAAGTAATTGAGGCTAACAGAAACAACAAAAGATGATTAGCATGACTACTTTCATGGATTAAACACTAGTGAGAAACGATTATAGTCAACATTTTAAACACAGTATGAGAAGAAATGTTAAGGTAGCATTCAACATTTTCCTTGAAAGAATTAAATCACACATCTACTGGTAATTAAATATCAAGTAATGAAATCTTATGAATTATCTAGCATCAGGGGCTTTTCTTTTAACTTCTTTTATAGCTTTTACAGTCCTTTTTTCACTGTAAGAAATACTGAGTTAGTTCAATGTGTGCTGTACTACCTGCCAGACTGTGTAATACAATGATGGGTCAAGATTCAGAGAAGCTTGTGAATAGTAACACTAATAAGACAGAAGTCATCAAGCCATGTTTTATAGTTTTATTGAATCTTTTTCAGCTTTTATTGTCTATGAAGTACAGTTCTAGTGTCCATGATTATGAAGCTCTGTTGTTACTATAAATAGTGGATACAAAGTTGGCTGCAATGCCTTAGAGACACACACACACGCACGCATGCACATGCACACACACACACACACATGAACACACAGTACAAGACAAACTCTTGCATGCAAACAACACTATGCTATTATAGGAAATGTACTTTCATTTTATTAAAAGCTATTACGCACAATTAGTTTGGATTTCATTAAACTACCATCAATTTAGATAAACCTGAGAAAGCTCAATATGTCAAGTAACACTGTTTCATACCACTCATTCAATGGCACTACTACTCACAAAGAAATCTAATTCAATTATCTATATTAAAATCACAGATAATATAAAAATAAACATTTTTGCAAAAACACTAATATGTAATATAATTCAAATTCACAAATTTTTAGATGCAACATATATTCACCTTCATATTAATTTGTGATGACATATATAATACAATGTACAAGAGAATAAAAAACCGTAACAGAATTCAGCAGCCACATAATACATTTATCACTAAAAACTTGTTATTAAAATTATCAACTGAACAAAGAAAACAGATGAAAATCAATAGCAATGTTGAACTTTCGGGTAGTGTGCTACTTAAAAACTCCATCTCAAAAGAATTAAGATTATACTATTTCACTTCAAGAAGAAACACTTCAGAACTGAACAACAGTAACTGATTAAACCATTTGGCTTTTTTCTCCCTTCTTCTCCCTAAAGTTTGTCCTTAAATTCTAATGTTGTATCTATAATGCCCAAACTAGTAGACTTCTAAACCGTAAGAGATCAACTCTGAATATAAAAGAAGACTTTTGCCTTTGGGAGAGGAAGCTCTGACCATAATTGAGGACAAAATTCTACACCTACTGAAAAGACAACATAAGCTTTTCTACTATATATATAAAATGTCGACAATACAGACCCAGTCTGGCTAAGATACTTTACATTCACAATTACTCTTATGATAATCTGATACCATATTGTGTCTATGTGGAAAGACATAATAAAAAGGCAAACATGCAAATATATTCCTAGGGAAAATTAAGCACTTGTATCACGAAACAGATTTTTATATTTTAAACTCCCAAAATTCTAAAGACTTAACTTTCAAGATATTGACACTTGAAAGGCATCATGATACACAACTCTCATTTTATCTATGCATCATATATTAGGTAAAATATACCAGTGTGACATATTAATATTATACCTTTAATAAATATAATTTACATCAATATGTTGGATCTTTCAAGAAAGTATTTCAATCTGTACAATTGAAGGACTGTGAGCTTCAATAAATATTATTACAATAGTTACAATTTGACCAGAAAAGGTACAGCTTCAATAGGTCCTACTTAGTGTTGCATCTTTCAATATTGTCACTAGTTGAATTCCAGCTGGGATAAGTGGTAACATTTATAGCATCCAGCCACAGCTTAGCATACTCTATGAGTAGACAGAGAAGAACTGCAGGTTATGACCTATCACATCACAACTGCTGAAACTTGCAAGCATATTTAGCCAAGGACCAGACTGAAGAGTCCTAGAAAACAGTGGCACATTTTGTTGCCCTCCTCGCTGTCTACAAGGAGTCTTTGCCACACTGCCTAAATCTCAACAAATGGATGTCATCCAATCCTTTCAATCAATGAAGAATGGTCTTCAAAAAGTCAGGAGTCCCACAGGTGCCTCAGCTGTCACATCATGGTTTTAAATCTGAATTCTGACTTTCATGGTATATTCCATCTTAGTTTGCATTTTTATTTCAGTGTAAATACATATTGAATTTTCAAGAGTCAAAGACCATGATTTCTAAGCAATAAAAACCCCTTGAACTTGGTACTAAAATGTTTTTAGCTGTTTCTTCTATCCAAATTTCAAGAGATTTCTGCCTTCACAGTTAATACTTACATCATCAACTGGCATGAATCAGCTTTTGAGCTGCTAGATCACTCCTTCATCCTGACCCTCTATATGTTTTCACCATTAGAACAGATCTCTCCAGATACTTGTCTTGGCCTGGAAGAAGTTGTAAAGGTCACTCTTATTACTATGTGGCATAGATTCACATGTCATTACTCATGCTGTGATATATAAAGCTAAAAGCAAAACACTTTTGTGGATAGGGATGTAGCTCAGCAGTAGAGTCCCTAACATACTCAAACACCTGGGTGTAATCCGGAGTACTAAGGAAAAAAGAAATAGAAAAGAAACACTTTGGAAAAAACATGCCAAGTAGTAAAAGGGCAAGACCAGTCACTGTCCACTTCCCAGTTGGACCCACAGTCCCAAAGGAAGTTCTCTGGAAGCTGAAACATGCATTTAACACATACTAAAAACCAGAGTGAGTGTCCAAAGACCTAAAAGGAAGGAAACTAAATTACATGATGAGGAAATGTTACAGAAATGTGTACCATTAAGCTGTGAGTTCAAGTATGGTACAGGCTCTGGAATCTTCATTTTGATCAGCTTAACAATATTGATCTTGTCTCACTGAACATATGTGTGAAAGGATTAATACAGTAAATATGTGTTTTAGAATTTGTCTTTTAGGATTAAAAGACAGACAATATTGTTATGAGTTTCATGAGAAATTTGAAAACCTCAAAAATGTGGAAGTGTATGAGGTTTCTTCTAGATTTGGTTTCTATAATCTTATACATTAAGACATATACATATAAAAAGTGCCACTGTACAAAAAGGCTAAATACAGCTTTTTAAAAAATTGATCTTGGTGGCTGGAGATTAAGTAAGCTGAAGCAACTCTGAATATCTCATAAAAATTCAACCTATCTGGGCATTGCAAGAACTGCTATCAAGTCCCAAGTTCCCTGTTCTTATGTCTCATAGAGTGCTACAACCTCATATTTCTTAAATTATAAGATGCTTTCAAACAAGTTATTTGACTATTAGTTATAAACTCTGATGATGACTGTATAAGGGCTAACTTTCACAACTAAAAGTTCTTTGACACTAAACAGTCACTTGTGGTAACTGTATTTCTTCATTATTCTCATTATATAAAAATTTGACTATTTTAAGGGTTAGAAATCCATCATTTAAAGATGGAAGGAGAGGGGCAGGAGAGAAAGAAGGGGGCTGAAACAAGGAATTAAGATGTGTCAGGTACTTGTACTGACTCTACATAAGAAGTTCAAGCATTATGTACTGCAAACATGTACCAATAAAAATAAGAAAAAAAGAAAATTATTATTAAGGTTGTAGAAATATTTTACAAATCTTTCATTAATGCTTGGCAGAGAACAAATACAAAATATACTGACCAGTCTTTTTCTCTTTAATTATTAGTAGTTTGATTATGTGTTGCAGTTTACTTTTCAGTTCTACGATTCTTTAATTTTCTCTATTTCTCTTTCCGTATACATGTATCTTTTTCTTTAAGTGTTAGGATATAAGATTTGGTAACAGATTACAGCTTCCCATTTTATCAACACAACCTATACAAATTCTGCCTCCTCTTTTTTTTTTCATATTCCATTTAACTTTTTAAACACTTTGAAGCAAAAAGAATCACTTTCCACTATTTTAGAGACATTATTCCAAAAGGCCTTCTACCCACCTCCAGTTGCCTCACCTATTTAAGAGTACTGCATTGTAGGCTATGCCTTGTGGATGTATGCCAACCACACCTCTTCCGAAAATACTGTTCTCCTGCCCCACATCCCTCAATTTGAAAACAATTATTCAACTTCACTCAAACTGTAGTCTGTAACTTAACTGTGAGTCTTGTAAAACTGCTTTTACAGATGTGAGTGAGCCCTTGTCTTGGAACACAAAGTCCTAAGGTCTTGCACAACAGCAGTACAAGTAAATGCTCTTATCTCAGGAAGTCTAACAGGTTCATGGTGCTCACAAGGAAAATAGATGCACTATGACACCTTTATTGCATCTTCCAGTTAGATTATATATGCCGGCTTCCACCATCAACATTTAGCACCCAATGTGTAGTAATGGTTTTCCAGAAATAACTAGAAAATTATCATTTCCTGGCTTTTATGTTTACTGACTTTACTTTTCTATTCAATTCCCTAAAGAAATGCAGTCAGCTACCATTTATGCTTGCAAGGAACCGAGAAAAGACATTCAGCTCAGAGATCTGTTCATTCTTTATTGAATGAACTTTAATATCCTATAGTAAATATTTTAAGAATATGGATTTCTAATTCATGCCATGGTTCATTAGAAATGATAAAGCCTGGGAAAATTAAAAAATTCAAGTTTCAGGTGGCTAGTCTTTTTTGAGAAATTATCCATATCAAAATAGCTTCAGTACTCATGTGCACACACACTTTACAAAAGCTTGTAAAATTTAAAGGCAGAAAAGAAAGTAAATATTTATCTACGTAGTATTGTTTTATTAGACAGTCAAAAGGGAGACTGAAGACAAACCCAAACAGCCAAGTGTGGATGTGGGCACTTTTGCTTCTATATATTTTTTTTAATTCACTGCTCTCTTGTTTTGATTTTTTATAACCTTACTAGCAACTCAAAGAGGAGAAAAGTACTTGGCTCTGTTAAGCATCCTACCATGTTACAAAGTGAGGTGTTTGGGGATTCTTGTGCCTTCACAAGCTTGTATCTCCATTTTGCTTGAACTCAGATAAAATATTGAGGGTCATGTCTTCACTCTTGGATTGCAAATTTGCCTCACTTCTTCTGGAAGCTTTCCTGGTTGCTCGGGAGAGTCTCCTTCTAAAAGTATCACCAGCCAAGAAATACAGAATAGGGTCCACACAGCTGTTGAGACTTGCTAGACCTCTTGTCACCTGGTAAGTGGCATAAACCCTGTCATTGAAAGCACACATTTCTCGGGTCTGAAAATCTAGCCGAGCTCTCAAGTTCATGGTTTTCATCACATGGAAAGGGATATAAGATACAGCAAAAACAGTCAGTACAATAATCACCAGGTAAATGGATTTCCTCCTAAGAGGCGAATTGTCCAGGTCTTTGTAAATCAAAGCTCTCACAATTAATCCGTAACAGCCCAGTATCAGTACCAAGGGGACACAGAACATGGCCACGGTGGTGCACATGCTGTAGATGAAATAACTTCGCAGATACTCATCTGAGGTGGTGTCATAGCAGGTGATGGTTTTGTTTTTCCGTACCCCAGTTCCCGAGTAGAATAGGATGGGGGAGATCGCCACCACCACGATGAGCCACACCAGCACGCTGATATAGACGGCGTTCTTCTTCTTCAGCCTGCCCAGGGACTTGAGCGGATACACCACGCCGCTGTACCTGTGCGCGCTGATGCAGGTCAGGAACAAGATACTGCCATAAAGGTTCACATGGAAGATGAACCTCTGCAGCTTGCACATGGCATCCCCAAAGATCCAGTCCGTCTTGTTGAAGTAGTAGAAGATGAGGGCTGGCAGAGTCAGCACGTACAAGAAGTCGGCCAGAGCCAAGTTGAACATGTACACGGAGATGCCGCTCCAAGGTTTCATGTGGAAAACAAACATCCAGATGGCCACGCTGTTGCCCAGAAAGCCAACGATGAACACCAGGATGTAGACGGCCGGCAGGTAGTAGAACTGGAAGCCTGTCTTGGTCAAGGCACATCTGAAGGTGGAGCCAGCGTCTGCGGTGGAGGCGGCTGTGCCATTTCCCCAGGGCAAGCCCGGGCCGGCCAGTAAGGCAGCGTCCGTCCCGTTGGGGACGGCCGGCCACAGCACCTCGGTCATTCTCTCCTCCCCGGCTTAGGCAGCAGGTCCGAAGGGCGAGCGGCGGCGAGAGGTCGGCGATGGCACCGGACTCAGCGAGCATCGGAAAAGCCGGCGAGAGGAAGGGCTGGGGCGCGGGGTATCCCCGCGGAAGGGGGCGCGCGGGGGCTCGCCCACGCCGGCTTCAGGCGCTCGTTCACCGCGGGCCATGAAATCCGCCCGGATCCGAGACTGAACCAGGCTGGCGGGCGTGCCGGCAACTTCCCCGTCTGGCTGGCCGCGCAGAGGTTACACAACAGGGCGCGCAGGGCACTGACAACTTTCCAACTGCGCTTTCCCGAGGGTCCGCAGGTCCGCGCTGCAGAGCACGCCTGGTGCGCGCAGCTAGATCACGCCAGACTCACTCGGCTGTGGTCCAGCGAGAAGAGGGCGCAGCCCACTTTACTTCTGCCAGAGATCAACGTCGCTTGGGCATCTTCCTTTTCTACCTTGCAAGCGAGGAGCTGGGCTTCGTGGCTCCGCGTCGCTTCTTCCCGGCCCCTGTCTCCTCCAGAGTTCAACCACCGAGGGCCATCGGAGTGCGCGTGGCCGCAGCCCCGTGTGCTTCTAGGTTTCTTCCCGTTTGCTGTCTGTGCAGTCGAGGCGCTCGCGGAGACCCAGCTTAGTCCCGAGTGCTGGGGGCGGGCGGGAGAGCCCGGCACCCGGTGGGGTGGGCGGAGCCTGGGCGCCCGTGAGAGTCCTGCGCTGCTCCTGAGGCGAGGGGCGTGCTCTGCAGGCGAGGGGCGTGCTCCGCAGAGCTCACCAGGGACGCTCTCTGCGCTCCGGAGGGCGCCACCGGGGTCGAGGCGCCTTCTGGGGAGCTAGGCTTAGGTGCGCTGAGGTACGCTCAGTCTCGGCCCCGCCGCTGCTATTCGAGGTAGTGGCGAGAGCGAGGGCTGCGCTTGTTCAGCGGTGGCTGTTGGCGAGCGATTGGCCCGCGAGTGCACTTTCGCTCTTCCGCCAGCTATCTCCAAAGTGAAGTTGCTGACACACAGGAAACCCTCCGGACCTCTTAGAGCCTGCTGCCTGCTAGCTCGCCGACCAGTGACAGGGAGAAGTCTCTAAGGCCCCCTAGCACCAAGCCAGGTGTTTGCAGACTGCAAACAGCCAGCTGTCCCGAATGGGAACGCCCAGGCGTAGCGCTGCGCCTCACTTCGCCTAGCACTTGTAGGAACCTGCTGCTCCGGAGTGCGCGAGCCTCCAGAGGAGGGAGGAGGGGAGGAGGCTGGGCAGGCTCCTTCTGCCATTCTCATTTGTTGCCTCCCCGCTTTATTCCAATACAATTCCTCTTAATTAACCAAACTCTGTACTAACAAACCGACGTCACTAGTAGCGTCATTGTGAGATTTTCCAAAGGAGCCTGGTAAAAATCTTGTTCATAAATTCTGCACGTTGCTTCAGTCCAATTTGATTTGATAGATACCTAATGCCTACTGGACAAACAAGCTCCCAAATCTTCCGGTCAATTACATTTAATTAAAGATTAAAGACCGCAGTGAAAAAAAAATTGATGCAACATCAAAGCTTTCTAGAATGACTGAAATAATAAATATAAAACCCAATTTCAACTGCAAAATGATTAACGTATAGTTTGGGGAGGTGTTACCAATTTTTTTCTTTAAATTAAAATGATTAGTTGCAATGACCTCCAGTGAGTATCTTAAAAATAAAGAATAAAGACCTCCTTAATTACCACACTTACTGAAAAAATCGTTTTTTCCTCTTGAATACATCAAAAAGTTAGGCAGTACATTTCACAAAGGTACGTGAGTGTATTTAATTGAAAACTAATTGAATTGTTTGCTGTTCAGGGCCCTATTTAAATGGGCCCACACAGAAAGGAAACAATTATTAATTAACTACGTATTTTATATAATATATTAATAGCAGTTTTTCTTTAAGACTAAGAAAATCTAAGAACAGAATATATATTATAAAGATTTCTTTCTGGTCTCAAATGTTACAAGCTAGTGTCCCCTTAAAAACACTCAGAGGAAAACCACGAGTTCCCGGCTTTGACACTAGAAGGAAAATACCCTACAATACTCAGACAGTGTTTTAGAGAAACCCATATAGGTAGGATCATACTCCTCTATACGACCCAGTATCAGTATTATGGTATTGAGGGTGGTAAATGGAACAGCATGAAAATGCAGTAAGCAAGGAAACTAAAGTAAATAACTCAGATAAAGAGCAAAACGTTGCTGTTAAAAGGGTCTTGACTATATTTCCATCCAGCCTTCAAAATAAATTATTCTATACCTCTGAGCCTTAACACAGAACATTTTTGTATCATTTGCAAAGGATGATGCTAGCTGGGAAGGATGGTCTATTAAGAGGGAAAAGGAAGCTTAGAAACCCATGAAGAGTTTCAAGAGTACTCAATGGGCCTTTACTCCTCACTCCTTTTCTTTTTTCTTTTGCAACCTAAGCAATATGTAACCTCTCTCAGAAGTCTGTTGCAAATGCATTAACTCATAAAGTGAATGCTTCAAGCTGTACATTCACTCCAAATGCCCTTTCCTACTTCCAGAAAATTTACACTTTACTAGGAATTAGGATGAGGTAGTTATTCTAAGGGTACCACAGATTTTTTTTAACAAGTAATGTTAAATGCCTATTTTGTAAGCACCGTTTTTACATTCAGCCAGCTTAACTACATATTTACAATATATTTAAGTTATATTATAAATCAAATTTTTGCCTCTTCAGTAATTATTTATTAGCTTTCTTTTTGTAAAACTTTGAATGAGATTTAGTGCAGCTAAAAGAACACCACCTAAGACCTCATAATATGCCTGTATTTATTCATATTTGACTACCAATTATCAGTGCTTTAAACGTATAAAAATATGCTCCACATATTTGAATGTTTATCTCAGGCATTCTGTGTTAACTTGTTTTATTTATTTCTTTATTTTTTTTTTTTGTACCGGTGATTGAACTCGGGTCCTTGCACTTTCACAGCAGGCAGCAAAACCACTGAGCTAAATCCCCAGCCCCAACTTGTTTTATATTTGAGAAAGAATGTGTTGGGGGTAAGATACTATAAAGTATGACTCTTTGGCATGCCAAGTATCCTGAACTGAAAGAAGGCCTCAGAAGCAAAGTTTCTCCTTGACCCTTCTGCTCACTTGCATCTTCTCCCTTCTTCCCTGAAGTGAATCATAGAAACCAAAGTTCCTCTTCCAGAAGGTTGCCCATAGGCACTAGAGAGCCTTTCCCTCAAAGCCAGCTTAGGTGACTTAGAAAGATCACCTCAGCTTTTTCACTGGAGACTGTCACTGCAGAGGGATCCTGCCCTATAGCTGGGAGGAAGAATGCTACACAGAGAGGACAAGAAGAATTTACACAGATAAGACTTGCCACATTTTCTTCTCAGGACACTGTCCTTAGACCATACCCTTTTTTGCCCAATCACATTTCTACATACTGTCAATTCTTTTTAAATTTACAAATAAAATCAGTTTTCACTGGGTCTTTGGGTCTGCCCTTGTGAGGGCTCCCATGTCATATAAAACTTTGATTAAAACCAGTTGTTGGGCTGGGGATTTAGCTCAGTGGTTCGGACGCCTGCCATGCAATCGCAAAGTCTGGAGTTCGATCTCTGGTGCCAAAAAAGAAAAGAAAACCAGTTGTCATGTTTTTTCTCTTTTTAACCTTTTATTATAGATGACTGGGGAAATTTATCACACCTTTCCACACATACCGATATGTTACCTATCTTCAAGAGATGCATAATTTATTTGACACATAAAGAGCATTATCGGCTTTAATCTTTGAAAATATTTTGTGACAATAGTTGAAAATTACTTCCCTATTTTATAACTGATGAAATAAAGTGTAGAAAACTATGAGTAATTTACCAATAGTCAAACACTAAAACTGGAATTTAAAAGTAGGCCCTCTATCTCTAAAGTCCATGAAGTTAAGCACTATCCTGTGATGAAATGCAAACAAATAAAGGACACTGATAGGAAAGTTTAACTTTTAGGTGGCCCATAGAGTTTGAGTATAAAAAGGGTTATTCCCATCCACCAGCTATCAAGGTGAGCCAGATCTTGAAAGGAATGATATTCAAAGAATATTGCCGAAGTTTCCTAAATACTTCATTTTTCAACATAAGCTTTATGAATATAGATAGACAGATAGACAGACTGAGAGACTGAAACAGATAGCCAGCTATTGGAAATCATATGTGTTCAGGCTTAGGCTCAAAAACAAAAGGGTGTTTTTCTTGTGTGTATGCAAATTCTCTTTATTTTCTTTAGGAAAATCTACTTTTCCTTCTTTAAAGTTACAAAACATCTAAAAGTCATTATCATTAAAAATTATAGTTGAGAGCCACAGATAGAAAAAGAAAAAAATCTAATAAATATAAAACCTCCTAACTTTAGAGATCAGGAAACAGGAGATTTGAATAAATATATACTATACCACAAAGGCTAAGCCTAATCCTGATGGGGACATGGAAAGAATGGGAAGCCAGTGGACTTTGATCCACTGGATATGATTTTGCAAGGGAGAGAGAATGAGATCCTGATCTAGGAATTAAGGCGATCCATTGGTAAATCCTCTAATTACAAAGATGTAGTAAATTCTGATATACACTTAAAGAAAATGAGATCCTTCCCTTTCCAAAAAGACAATGGGAGAAAACTAGGAGTACTGTGAAGTCTAAGGAATTCCCAACAGATGTCCTCCAACAAAAGCAGGAGAATAAAGAGAGCTAAGGTGGAGCAGAACTGGAAAGGGAACATATTGAGAAAGAATGAGAGGCATGTCCTGTGTCAGGAGGGCCCAGCTGCTCCTGTAAATTATACCCTTGTCATGGATCCAATCAGCAGGCTTCCTGAAATGAATTTCATTAAGAATTACAGCAGGGTCGAGGACACAGAAGAGGACAGAAAGTTGATCTGAGGTTGGAGTGAAGAGAAGGATAGAGGAAAGCAAAACAGCAAGGAGGCCAGGGAGAAGAAAGAGGAGTGACAAAAAGGGGAGAAGGAAATGAAGAAGAGGGTAGGCAGGGGGAAGACGAAGATAGAGGCCCTGGAGGGGAAATGGTGGATGGGGCCCAGAGGAAGGGAAAGCAAGGCACTGGTACAGAAGTAGAAGACATAGCTGTTTTATTGTTTAGGATTTAGTCTGGGAGGTTTGGAGGTGCACAGGGTCTGGGAGATGGTGAGAAGACACAGGCTACATGAGCCTGTGGACAGTCATGGTCCTATTTAATACTGTCCCTTGTCAGATGGCATTGACCTAGGCTTTCTATTTCTGCCTAACCCTTGCAAGAACCTGTAAATCCCAGGCCATCTAAACCTTCCTCCACCCATAGAAAGTTTCTTGCTCCTACAAGTTAAGAATATTCAAGAGAACTGCTTTCTTATACTCACTTTTTAAGTATTACCCTCCTTTTCCTTATTGAAGTGAAGCCCTAGTCTCCCTATTCTTGAACATTTTATAATTCTTTCAAAAACATCTTAGTTAAATCCAGAATTTAATACTCCAGCTCTGACCTGTAGCTTCAGTTTTTCTCTAGTCAACTTTGTGTGATAAATGTCATCTTTGGACTTTTTCTCTCTGACCTCCTTATATAAATAAGCCATGTCTTAGAAGATTTATGATAAAAGATTATGAATTCTATGTTATATGCCAATTCTTATCTTGTATGACTTCTTCATAGATGTTGCTTAAGAGAGAGCAATAAATATCTATAAAACCTATAAACCCATAAATACCTTTAAAGTAAGTTACACAAATCTAAGATCTTGGGCTAAACACCATGGAGAATTTCTATGGCATCCCAAAGAATAAGAATATGACTTTGAGAGTTATTTTTGAGCATTATATCCATAAGCAATAATTACAGACTTTCTTTATTCTTACGTTCTTTTATTGGTACATTTCAGGTATACAATATGTTTACATTTATCATTGGGTGCTTGTACCTGTACATGATGTATCTTGGTTCTTATTTTTTACCCATTACCTGTGCGCCCTTCACCCCCTCCACCCTTCCCTATTTACATAGACTTCATTTCCATTTTTTTCTTTTCTCATAGTTTTTCCTTTCCTTTCTTTCCTTTCCCCTTCCCCTCAATAATTACAGACTTTGATACATCTATAATTTGCATACATGAGCTAAATTCCAAATATGCAAATGAAAATCATGTGTATAAATAAACACCCCTGTTTTCCTTATGTTGAGTGACATTTTCCATCAGTTTACCCCTGGTATGTTGATTTTAATTATGTCCTGAAGGTTCCACACTTCCCAAGATTAAAGTTAATAGTGGCTGGTGCCACATTTCGGATTGGAAACTTGTCTCTTTGAAGAACTGGTAATAAGTTTTCACCAGTAGCACCAAAAGTGTGGACTAATTTTAAATAGGTGAACATTATATCCATTTTTATAAGTTATTCACATACTCCTTTTAGCTTAGATTTTATAGAAATACTGTCAAGAGGGGCTACCCCCAGCCTTCCTGCAACAAATCAAACTTCTGATACTATTCTGAAAATATATCATGGCAGCCAAAGAAAGCGTACAGTGAGTCAAGCTGCTAAA